GTATATATATTAGATATTAACTAAAATACTAAATATACAACGATGAAAGAGGCTGTGTAGGCAAACACGATTCCATGTTTGCTGCCCTCAAACCAAAAAAAGTAAAATATGTTGTAATTTACATATTGAAATTATTTCATACAGTAACAACACAATGAAAACTACTGTAACTCAAATATTTCAGTACATCATGTAAAGGTATGAGATTAGTTTGGAAGTAAATCAAATATAAATAATTGATTCTGGCAGTGATTTTAAAGTGAATAAAAGCAACATTATTGAGTTGATCAGAATTTATTTATATATTAGTAACAACTGCAGTATATTCAACTCAATAGTAAAAAAGGCAAGCAGGCTTAAAACTATCTTCAGAAAAATATTGCCAAAAAGAGCTTTAAGAAAGAAGGCTAATTGAAAGCAGAATGCATACCTCCAATTCTCTCCAAAACAATAATACATACGCCAGTGTTTTTGCATACATTAGCATAAATTAGTCTTCATTACAGACAGCTCATTAATCTGAGCTGAAATAATGAACATCGATCATCTTTGGTTTTATTTAAAAAAACAAAACAAAAAATACCAAGTGGACAGGTATGAAGAAGACCATAATTTTTAGTATCATTTTTAATAAATATATTTTCATGCATATTCATTTTTATATTCATACTGAGATTTGAGATATGTTCAGTGCCTTGAGCACTTTAGTGGAGATGTGCGCTTAATAAATCTTATTATTATTATTATTATTATTATTATTATTATTATCAAGTTATGTTCTCCTACACAGACCAGTGTAATATTTTCGTAATATTGCACATTTCGGAAAGCGCCACCAGCGTCAGTTTATGTCGAGAAACTTTTTGATGCGAATTATGCTGCCTTCATTAGAACTTGTGAAGTCGGTGTTTGCTATTTGATATTTTGATTGTAATATGTTTTACAGATAAACTGCATTTTGAAGAAATGGTATGGAATATTTTGATGCTATATTTTTGCATGGTCAAGAACAACTTGAGGTATATAATTATATTAAATAAGATCAATTAATTAATTGATTTGTATTTTGTATATTTGTTAATGTTTTGCCATTGTTTTAATTAAAGTTTTACTGTATTTAGTTTTTTGCTAAGCACTTCCAATTATTCTATGATTTCATCATTTCTATCGCTCATATTTTTGTAGTTTATATAAAAAGCAGAGTATTGTATTTATAATTGTTTTAAAAATAAAACATACATCTCTTCATCTATTTTATTGTATGTTGTATATAAGAATATATACAACAAAATAATATCCAAAAGCAATAAATCTATCATAAATTAAATAATAGTAAATAAATCTAATAGTTGAATAAACCATTAACCAATCAAACTATACATTTTTTACTTTTCTTTTTTTGATTTTTAACTAAGACAGAAATAGATCATAAAAATGTATCATGCACATGAATCATTAGAGATGATAATTGATACATAGTATATATTAACAAGACGTAATTATGTACTCGTGTCAACTTTACAATAATTTTTTTGCTTTTTTCTCAATATAAGACATATTTAAAGTTATACTTTCATATCCCATATTTCAAATAATAGGTACTGTATTGTAAATTTAAATAAATAGTTTACATGGGTTACTTACATTTACAGTAGATCTATTTGTTTATGTAATAATGAAATATAAAAAATTTAATATTTTAAAATTATTTTGTAATAGTAAACAGTAATGTATTATAAAAAAAAACATTTTTACTACAAACTGTAATCTTTTTCGGTACCCCTCCCTGCCCTCTGAAAGCATACAAAGCAAATGTTGATTTTGCAAAACCATTCTCCATTTATGAAGTCAACTAAAACACTACTTGGCTGCTTAAAAATGTATATTATCCATGGTTGAATTATGGTCATACAGAATCTATTATTTTATATCATGTTATTTTGAATCAACATTTCCATGCATATGTAAAAGTGTACAAATTTGTCTACCCCTACAGTAGCATACAGTACTGTTTGTGCACTTGTAGAGATGTTGATATTCCTTACCTTTTTTTAATAATCTCCTGGTGATTGATGCATGCATTTTTAACATTATATTTTGTTACGGTAATTAGGCATACTATAAAGAAATAAATGTCTGATAAAAAATATAAAGATATTTTTTTAAATATCTGACTCCAAATGATTATAACTAATTTTCCCTTTTTTTCTTCTAGGACATATCTTAGAGATGTGATGCATGGGAATGCATTGTGATGTATGGGAATGCATAGAGCATAAGTTGTACAGACATTTGCCACTTTAAACAAAAAAAAGCAGGACATTAATAATCAATAGGAATCCATAACATTCAGCTTACAGAAAGTGCATTTTAGTGATACTGCAGTATTTTGTATTGCATAACCAAGACTACATTAATGCTGATGGATTTTGCCTTTAATAATTTTCAATGCTACTGTATATTAAATTTAAAAAAAAATATCTTGTGTATGTAATCATTTATTTATTTAAGGTTTCTTAGAGAAAGATTAGTGACTAGCACTGCTTCCCAAGGAATGAATGCAGAAAAATGATAACTTGAACAACAGTTACGTTTTATGAATTAGAATACAGTATGTATTGCATTGCTGTCTACACTAATTCATAAACGTAACGGTCATCGAGCTCAGCTTTTGCTAGACTAGCTAGTGAGTGAGAGGTATGGCCTTGATCAGCTATATGCATTTTTGTAGTAGCCTAGCTAGTCTAGGCCTAGTTGAGAGGCTTCTCTAGGCCTGTCACGAATGTAGAGAATTCTTCCTTATCAGAAACATATTTTCATGCTATCAGATGATCCGGCCATCTTTATTAATATATGCAGGGAAAAAATCCTATGCATAAACAATAACAATAAACTAAAAAAGTATGAAATATAACTGGTACACACAAGTTGTGAACTTGAGTAGAATTTTCTTCCTCGATTTGCACAAGTAGTGTGGAAAATGGCGGATGTAACACAAACTATGCACAACGAGCATATAGGTATTTATTGCAATTTGTTTAATAAGTAATATTATTTCAGATAAAAAAAAAGAGTGTTGTTTGTATGTTTTATTTGCAACAAAACATATTTATTGCAATTTCTTTAAGTAATATTATTTCAGATTTTAAGAAAAAAAGTTGTTTTGTATGTTTTATTTCCGAAACACATTGCAAAAGTGACAGTCGCCATTTAGCGTTCGTCAAATGAATGCACTCTTCTTGTGTACTCGAATGTTACAAGTTGTGAAATCAGTTTTCACAAGTTCTAACGAACGCAGCATTAATCCAAGAAAAAGTATACTATGGAACGCCATGCAATAAGTAATATGGAATGCCATTAGTGCCAAAATTGATTTATTCTTAAGCATTTAACTGATTAAGAGAAAGATTAGGGACTGGAACCCAGTCTAGGTGATGTCATATCACACCGATTACATGAGCATAATGATGTACACACCAGCATTCTTCCGAAGTCATTTTAGCCTTCAATTTTACCAGTAAAAATAACTGACAACCAGTAAAAATTGTGTGTTGGGTAGAATAAAGAAAGCACTTATTAGGCCTAGGTAGCCTAGGTTGGCCTTCTTTAAATAAAAGAAAATCATTCCAATCTAGGCATAGGCTATGATTATGTATTGTTTTTTGAAGCAATTGAACTTTAAAGTGGCAATACCTCATGCTACACTTAGCTGGCCCCTACATGGACAAATTTACCAGTAAGAATTTTTCAATTGGGAGAAAAACTGCACACCAATATACAGTATAAGCATGTTGATGTCATATCACACCCATATATGAGCATGAAGATATATCACACCCATATATGACCATGGTGATGTCATATCACACCATAGATATATAAGCATGATGATGTCAATCACACCCATATATGACCATGGTGATTACATATCACACCCATATATAAGCATGATGTCATATCACACCCATATATGACTATGGTGATGACATCACATCCATATATAAGCATGATGTCATATCACACCCATATATGACCATGGCGATTACATATCACACCCATATATATGCATGATGTCAATCACACCCATATATGACCATGGTGATTACATATCACACCCATATATAAGCATGATGTCATATCACACCCATATATGACTATGGTGATGACATCACATCCATATATAAGCATGATGATGTCATCACACTCACATAATGAGCATGGTGTTGTCATATCAGACCCCAAAGTATGGGCATAATGATGCCATTTCACACCCATATTCTATCAAAGCAAAGCTAAGGCATTTGTCACATAAAAATGAGTGAGCAAGGCAATTATATATTTATATTTTTAAAATGTGATTTGTCCATACTGCCATTTATATATATATATTTTAAGATGGTGCATTGTTTATGTAATACTATTTTGCAATTTGCATAGCACACTCATTTTGGGTTTGTGCACTCTTGTATTCATAATCAGTGTACCACGTCACACAGGGCTGACCCAAGCCATA